AACCCTGATTACCCATTCCCGTTATCCTCACTTTACGTCCCTAAACACCTATCACAAGGGACCTAGCCTAAGGAATATCATCGGGATGGACACTACTGCTAAGGGGACTCCTCAACCATACATTTCCTAAAGGAAACCATGAGGGGGATGGAGTACGCCAATGAACATTTAGTTCATCAATACCTACAAGTTGCGAACCTGCTAGTGTGCCACTGGACTGTCTAAAAAAGGTCTGTGGTCGTCATCTATACTCCACTAGACGACTACAACAACAACAACAACAACATCGAGGCCTCTCACCATTTTAACACACATCAACTATTTCATCTACCCATGTTCTACCCAACATATTTGTAGATAAAATACATATACAGTTTAAAACTTGTATAAAACATATGTTTAACAGTCACCTCAAATAAACACTTAATATAATTACACATAGCACGTATTTTATAGAAAACACTTCATATCTAGGTGTAAGATGAAAGTGACTACACACTCACTTGATTTACTGAAAATCGGGCAGCACTTCGTTCCCTAAAACGATCGTTTCTAATAAAACCGGGAGTTTTATTGAGAAACCGGGCTCTGCGAGGGTCGGGCTTCAAAACCGAAAATATAAATTTCTCGGGCTTCTCGGGCACTTCGGGACGTGTTTCGGGTGTTTGGTATGATATCGGGGCTTTGGGGGAAGTTGGAATGAAAGAAATATTGAAAGAGGGTTGAAAATTCACAATTTTTCAAAGTATCACCGGGAGGTCTCGCACCCTTCTATTTATAGGGGCGAGGCTCCTGATCCAACGGTTGAGAGGCTTCCAGGTGGCAGCAGATCAGAAGAGCAGGCATATGGGTTGCACGTGCGAGGGTCCTGCTGGAAGCTTTTGATTGGACCAAGGTCTAGGTCCGAGGAGGGGGGGTTTGTGGCACACCTGCGAGGCTCGGACACGTCAGGAGAAGGTACGTATCGCACTCCCATTGGACCGAACTTCGGATGCGAGGGCAAGCGACACGCCTCGCCAGCTGGCTTCGGTGACTTAACAAATTTCGGACACGTGGCACGTTTTGAGTGAGGGTGACGTGGCCGAAGTCCACCTATGCGAAATTTCTCGGATTTGGCATTTTTTTCTCGATTTTTGTGTAAAACCTTCTAAAATCCATAACTTTCGCATACGGGCTCCGTTTTTGACGTTCTTTATATGCACGCATAGGTAAAATTATGCTCTACAACTTTCGTTTAGACTTCGTCGGCTAATTTTGACTTTAATTTTTATATTATTATTTTTAACAGACCGGGACAGGAAATCAGTTAAAAATTCATAACTTCTTCATCCGACGTCCGTTTTCGTCTGTCTTTTTACCGTTGTACTACTATTGACGAGACCTTCGATTCTTGTTTAGGTTGTATCGGCTAAAAATCACTCGATCTAAAATTTGAGTTTTTAGTTGTCTACTGCTAAGCTGACACTTAGAAAAATCATAACTTCCTCATACGAAGTCAGATTTGGGCGTTCTTCTTATACATACTCTCGGTTTAACGAACACTATGACTTTCGTTTAGATCACTAAGGCTAAAAAGTAGTTTATCAAAAACTTACTTTTTACGACATTAGGCACCGTGCCGGTTTTGTCGCGAAACTTCGACACATCATAACTTCTTCGTTATAACTCGGATTTCGGTATTCTTTATATATCCATAATCCTTGTCACGACCACTACAACTTTCTTAATAGATATCGGCTTTATCTAATATTTATTTTCGCCGCTCATTTTTATTCTTAATTAATTAAATCCTAGTAATTAAGCATAAAACACATAAGATTCACATAATTCCTTTTCATTTCTTCAAAATGAGTTACAAAGGTTAACCTAGACTATAACGTCAATATTAATGCCTAGCCTAGAAACACGGGCGTTACACATGTTGACCTAAGCCTCAACGACTCGATTGTGAAGCCTTAATGAATTGATTCTACCAATCAATTCTTCCAAATCAGGCTGCAAATTCACATTGGTCATGAGATACCTTACTCTTCTTGCATTGAGTTAAGATTTATCTGCATGGTCACTTTCGCATTGGAGAGGTACTTTCGTTTCTTCTTAACCATCTATACATTTCTCCATCACTTGCGCATTCATACATGCAACCTTAGAGACTCTCAGTCATACCACTGAGGTTTATGGTTGCACAACATCTGTGTTAATGATCTCAGTTTCGTTCAACCACGAACTGAGTGAAACCAAAAATTCAATACTCTTTATGAATTGATGGTGAACAATCAAACGTTCTAGAATTTTCACCAAGGAATTAACGAAAGTCCACCTTCGTGGTTTGTACCAAGAAATCTCTTTTCTTTTGTGAGATCCTAATGAAATATTCTAGTCCTAAGATATTCTTCCCAATGGATCTAGTTTTATTTTATTTTTGAGATTTCAATACTTATTCATGTTACCAAAATAATTCTAAACCTACTCGTTCAACTGACTACACTAGTCACACGAGTACTTCTTCCAACTTTCGCACTTATGTCAAGTTCGTAGTTTGGTTGAAGATTGAACCACCCATTTAGCCAAAATTAAAAGATGCCTTTCAATCTTTTCTTATCAAACATTTGATCGTAATTCAACAGGAAACCACACAGACACTTTTTAGTCTCTCTTGACTATGAAGGAAGAGATCTTTGCCTGGGATCCATAGTTTTTATGTCTTTATTTAGACATCACAAAATCCCACAGCTATGTTTAGATTTATTTCTTTATCTTTGACACTCTTGCACGAAGATCCTTGTGATTTTCAAAAAGTCTGGTTCGTGGTTCTTAATATTCTTTCAGGTTCGCAGTTCTATCCACATTTGTTGAAATGAATGTTCGTGGTGTATGAATCAAAATGTTACTTAACTGTGAAAGGGGATATGCTGACGAGTAAAATTTTAAAGATAAGAATTCAAACGGGCGCGTGATTATTTGAATCAACGGCTACTTTATCGTCGTGTGACGTATGGAACAAACACATCTACAGTTGTCAAGTCGCGCTTTTTCAGGCGACGTTTCAGTAACCGATGTACTCTCTCTCTCTCTCTGGGTTTCTCTCACAAATCGAATCGTATATAAGGATTTTGGCGACGCATCTCTCATTATCACTTACAAAATCCTCTCAATAATTTTCGGCGATCAAAAGCTCTCCACTATTCATCTTCTTCATCAAGCTTCCACTATGGTGGGTTCATCTGAAAACCTCTCTGTTCAAGATCAGACAGTTAATTCATCTCTCTTGGCCATCAAACAACACCAAAACTTGGTGATAGATCTGGACCCATGTAAGTATGAATCTATTATGCTTCCGATCGTCGAGTACCTGGAATACTCTCCTCTGACGATTGCTCTCACCCAAATGGAGAATGTTCCTTTGTTGATTCTCTCTAAAGCTTACACGTATGCTAACTGCATCAAGGATGAATAAAGGATCTACTTCGACATTCATAACCGTACCACTTCCATTACCAAAATCCGTTTCTGCACTCTTCTAGGGTTTCAGCAGACAGATGATATGATCAACCCAGAAACCATCTCTAATGCTGCTCTCTTGGAGATGTTTTATCAAATGCGATACAAAGAAACCCTAACTGTAGTGTCCAAGTTCAGGAAACCCAACCTCCCTCCTAACTGGAATGCTCTCTTCGCTATCCTATTCAAGGCCTTTTCTGAACGGGTTACTGGATCTGACTGTGCAAGTAAGATGTGTATGGGACTGATGTATGGTCTCTATACTGGTTTGAATGTCGATTACAGATCCATTCTTTTGGCTCAAGTCATCCAGAGCACACACTCCACCACACTTCACAGTGAGATTTCATGTGCACGTTTTTGGACTATCATATTTCGCAGATCGATTGACAAGCTCAAAATTCCAGTGATGGCTGATGCACTGATGGCAACTATCTTAACTTTTCACACCACTGGCATCATCATTTCTGACATCTCAATGTTTTCTTTTATCAGATCGATTCCGGAAGTGATGTTCCGTGATGTGTCGGCTTCAAGCAAAATCCTGGAGGTCTATCGAACTCTTAATCCTTATGGGTTTCGACCTTTGACTGCAGAATTTCAAGAAATCTTGGCTGAGGCAGACAAAGACAAGAAAGGGGGTAAAGGATCGAACAAGGGTGGTAAGCACAATACTGATAAAGAGGGACCATTTGACGCTGCGAAACCTCCAGCCAAGAAGTGAAAGGCCCCTGCAGCTTCTTCTACTGCTGCTCCAAAAAGGCAAAAGCAGCCTGTTCGCAAGCGCAAGTCTCCAACTCCATTTCCATCTCCAAGTGAGAGTGAAAGATCTAAATCTGAAACTAAATCTGATGTTCGTCTTGAGGAGGACCAACCAGTTTGCAATGAGGAGGAAGAGCATTGTCACAACGAAGGTGAACAGGTTCGCAATGAACAGCCGGTTCGCACTGAAGGACCGACTACGAACCCTGAGGTAACCTAAACATTTAATGATTCAGTTCCTTCTCTTCCTCCTTCACCAAAAACTACTACTACACCAATCACCATTGTACCCTGTCCTCCACCCATTTCAACTCAACCTCAAAACACTATTCCAATTTTAATCCCAATCTTCACAGATTCAACCATCCCACCCATTACCTCAGCCGAACCTGTTGTTTCAGTCAACGTATCTGATACGGGGGCCAAAACTTCAGGCTTCTCAACCCATGTTTCACCTCCCATCTCACATATTCACACTGATGATCCAGATATGATCTTCGGGGATGATGATGATGATGATGATGACCTTGGCGGATTCACTTATAGTCCATTTCAAAAAAGGACTGACAGTGAAGATGAAGCCACTGTCACGAAATGGCAGCTTAAGTCCCTTCATGAAAAGACTGACCAACTGCTTCTCGCATCCAAGGCTTCCTCTTCTAAAGCATACTCAAAAGCGGCGGTTGAATCTCTTTTTTGAGCGCATCACGAAGGAACACGCAGATAACGCTGCGAAGATGAATAAGGCGGTGTCTGATTCTGCAAAAGTCTGCAAGACAACGACCGAAAAAGTTGATAAAATAATCTCTCAAACCATTGAATTCATTGAAGATTACAAGTCCACCTACAACACCAACACTGCATCTGCGAACCAGGCTCTCAAGAACTTGGGTTCTATGTTCAAATCTGAGAAAGCTAATTTACAAGATCTTCGCAAGAGTCTTCAAAAGGACCATGACACATGTCAAACATCTATCTCTTCGCAGATCACAAAACTGCAAGATGATTTGGTGATGGAAAGCAAGATAATGCACGCTCTCGCCATGATGACGGAAAGGTGAAGGTGTTGGATCTCAAGCTTCAACATGTTGAGAAACAGGTCAAGGATCCATTATCTGAGAGAGCAGTTGTGTGAAGCTGTATTTCAGATGTCACCGGTCTGCTCTCAGATATCATTGAGACCAGAGACCCAATGATTTCAATCACGGTTCGGAAAGATTTGGCTGAAACATTAAGCCCTGTGTTCGTTATGATGCACAGACTTGAGGGGGTTTCGCCTCAAAGCTCTGATGCGAAACAAAGGGGAGAAGGTGGCTCCCAAGTTACAAAGAACGAACCTCACAAAACCCCAGTCAAGCCTGTTGTCAAGCAAGAGCCTAAGGGGAAGGAAAAACTGTTCGGTGATGACCCCATTATTGATAATGACGAAGACGAAGAGCCTGATGAAGCTGAGCTTAAAATGTGGAAGGCTCGTGAAGCAGAATTGAACGAAAATGCTTGTGTCGTCAGGGAGGCAGAAGAAAAAGAAAGGGCTGAAAAAGAAGCTCAGGCCACTCTCAAAAGCAAAATGCTATTATTTCCAAAGTGGACTCTGAAGCGAATCCAGAATGAAGTCGTGGAGTTGCCAAGCCAGTATTGGTTGGATCTGGTTGCATCCTTTGATCTTCAAAATTTTCAGGATTCGCAATTAGACCTTCCATTTACTCCCAAGGCTTTCAGGTTTCGTGCCTTCGTGAAGGTTGCGAATGCTCCTTTCACAGACAGCGGAGCTGATCGTTCGCTGTTCTCCTTCTACTTAAAGCACATGAAGCCTCAATACAAAACTTGGAGTGCGAACAAGATTATTGCTGTGAAAGTCACTGAGCCAATCGAGACTGAAATCTTCCTTAACGTGAAGTTCAAGGTAGCGAGAGGTTATGCTTGTCAAGCCTATGAATTCACTCTCACAGACTTGCCCTGTCTGAATCCCCATGACTGGATGGTACTTTACAAAATGTTACTGAGAGAGAAAGAGAAGTACGAACCTGTTATGTCCCATCTCCAATTTATGATCAAGTCCTATATTCAAGAAGTTGGAATGATGGATGTGGATATTGCTGCAGTTCTGAGGAGAAAGCCCACTGTCGTTCTCAAGGAAGCTCCGAAAGACTACGAAAAACTCAAGCCGGGAAAGATATACAAGGAAGGATGGTTCGTAGTGTACCAGTCTAGAGAACGACCTAGAGCAGACTTTCGTAAGTCTTACTTCTATCTCGAAGACAAACATCTATACACTACTTCCTGTCTGGAGTTCATTCTGGAGTCGGTCATCAAGTACAAGGGCAACCACAAGGACGATGTCAAGTGCTTCTCAGACATGATTTTGTGGTATATCCAGGTTTGAAAGCTGCTATTATGCTTTATTCCAAAATTCTACGCAGTGCAGAAGCGAATCACCAACTGATAGACTATTGCCTCAATTTGACGCAAAGGGGGAGATTGTTGAGTATTAGATGTTGTGTCATTGGGCCTGTTTATTTAGTCTGTTTTGTATTAACGAGTTGGGCTTGTCCACTCGTATTTATTTCTAGGGTTAGAGTATTTAAGGTGCATGCATGCATTGTATTTTTGTGAACTCTGATATTCACTCTTGTAACCTTAAACACGCCTCTACTGTAGCAATTCTTTATCGAGCTCTTTTGAGGTGTGACTTTTAATCATTCAGCATTAGTTTGATTATCATTGTGTTCATATACTACATGTTTGAATCTAATCGATCAACTAGGATTATCATCCTAACACAAATGTTTCTAGGAAAGAAGAAGAGGGTTCTGAAACCTCAAGTTGGTTATTCGACTTTAGATCATAAATCTTCAGAAGAAGTGAGGTATGTTCCAAAACCCATTCTCAAATGGGTTCCTAAGTACTTTTGTTAAATCCGATAACTTGAGAGACTCTAACATTCTCAAAGATTATATTTTGATGTCTCTCATTAAGCAAAAAACATGAAAATGTATGTCTATTTTTTTGTTTTTGTTTCTAATTTTAAAAGAATTTAGTAAGAGATTTGTTCAGTAATTTTTTGTCAAAAGATTTTACTATAAGATATGTCCAGATGCATGCTTGTTTTCAAGATGCAAAAGGTGACATCTCGTGGGGTTGTTAATGTAAGATCTCAATAATTCAAACGAAAAAAGAGGTGGTGTATCCTTCTGTGTTTATCAGTCAATCTCCATCACCAAAAGAAAGCTGGACCTAGAACATAGTTGTCTAAATTTTTAAAAGTTTTTTATTTAGTTTTCCTTTATTAAAAATTTCATTTTTTTAATTATTAGTTAGTTTTTGTTTGAGTTAAACTACTTTTAGTTGTTGAAACTTACTTGGTTTGTTTTTTATAATTAGTTTCTAATTTCTAGTTGATTTTAGTTAGATTTAGTTTGTTTAATATGTTTATTTTATTTTTCTAGTTATACTTTAAATAAAAGTTAAAAATAAATAATTTTTTTAAAAAAAAGGCTTTAATTAATTTTTAAGTTAGATTAAATAAAAAAGTTGCATTATTGTAATAGTGTAAATCATGTGAGGAGTTTCAAATTAAACTTAATTAGGAACAAGAGATTGTCAAAAGCAAATCAGATGCAGTCAAAGGTGGGATCGGATTTCAAACAAAAGAAGCATCTGTCTTGTAGCTTTTATTTGTCTTTAATGATTAGTTGTAAAAGGGTTGGAGACTTGTCATTATTAACTATTATTTTTGTAGAAATGTTGATAAGATCAAGACAGATTAGTTCGCTGATGCTTGTGCTCAACAGGAAAGAGAAATCACATGTTTTTTATGAAGCATGTATATAGCTGTTGTCTTGGGATAATGTGTTTCGGGTTCAGTGTTTTCTGGAAAAGCAAGTCTCATGTCATATCTGATGCATAGTGTGGATCTACTTATCTTCATGCCAGGTTAATTTTCATGTTCTACGGTCAAAGGAAAAAATATGATCATCATGTTTATGATTTTAAATAACAAATAAAGTGAAAAGAGATAAGTCAAGAAAAGCTGCAAACACCATACATCAGTCACATTTCTTTTCATCAGCTTAACTCGTTTTCAGTGTAACATTCATAAAATTATCAAAAATTTTAAACTTTTAAAATGTACTCAAAACCATCATTGTTTACAATTTGTTTTCAAAATAAGTTCAACATCAGAGAAATCCCAAGATAGTGAAATAAAATATGAGGTGGACTACGACCACGCCTTCGCCTTCCTGCGATCCTCAGAAGTACCTGAAACATAATCCAAAACTATAAGCCCAAAGCTTAGTGAGTTCCCCCAAAATATCAATGCATAACAAACAACACAAATATAATAACAACATGCAATGAGTCCACAGTTAACAGACTGGATTACCCTTGAGCCCACAGCATAAGTCTGGCTTGCCCCATGGGCCCACAGCTTATGTCTAGTTTGCTCCCCCGAACCTCAGTACAAGTCTGTCATGCCCTACCCAGCCCTCAACTCGTATCTGGAATGCTCATGAGCCCTCCGTATGAGTCTGACATGCCCTTCTTGGACCGCAGCTCATATCTGGTATGCTCTAGGGTTTGTTGGCTACAACAACGAACAGTATAAACTCAACCCAACCCACACCATATATCGACATATAATAGATACTATCATATTCAGATAATAGGCAGTATCACAGGTAGTCCTACAGATCTACCAAACTAGCATGCATATATACTCCATACTCAACATACAATAACAGGTTATCAAACCGATGGGCCGGCCTTGGGGCCTTCAACCCGAAAGTATAGTGAGGAAGACTCACATCACAAGTAGTACCAAACTGAGAAAGTCTGAATCCGAATCTCAGATCCAGAGTCAAATGCCTAAAACCACCAAGTGACCAATTCCATCAAAATCCCGAAATACCCAAAATACCCTCACAAGTCACACTTGGTCAACCATTCTGAAAGTCAAAGTCAACGGTCAAGGTCAACAGTCCATGTTGACCCAACTCGCCGAGTGCACGACTATACTCGCTGAGTCTCTATGGGAAACAGAAGGTCAGGAAAATCCCAGTTAACTCGCCGAGTTAGCTTTCAAATTCGTCGAGTTTGCCTGAGCTTAATACATTCAGCTGCTCCTACGATTCCATGGACTCCAATACTTATATCTAAATTCAAATGCTATTAAAAAGGATAAAGTTTCCAACTTTATCCTTTGGGGCTACTCCAAGAGTTCAAAAACTCCTCCACAAGGCTTGAAAGTTCAAGGTCTTAACCAATAAGCACAAAATCCTTGAGATCTGGAACCCAACCCTTCCAGAAGAGATCCTAGCATCAAAATCAAACCAAAGGTGGTTGGTTTATATATATGCATGTCTTGAACCCAAAATGGGTCAAAAGGGGGAAATATGACCTAAACTCCATGCATGGCATAAAAACATGGCTAAAATCCAGATCCAAACCACTACACGATCACATTGACCTAGGAATTCATAAAGTTGCAAACTTTATGAGATCCATCCATTGCAACATCCAGGAATAAGGAGAAAAAGTGACAAAACTCAAGATCTAGCTACATAGAGGAATAAAAATTGGATCGTGGACACTTACAAGGGTCCAAAAGAGTGCCAAACTGAAGATGAGAGTTTTACTTGCTAGATCCTTGCCGCCTTCTTCCAACTTCCTTCTTCTAAAGCTCCAAAATGCTACACTAGCTCACAAATGATAGGAAAGGGTGATTAGGGTTCACAAGGGCCGAGATAGGGGTTTGGAGGCTGATAAAAGATTAGCCTTAAGGACTTAAGGAGGTTATATAGGGTGCAAAACCCTAAAATTTTGGTTTTCCCACTCAGCCATCAACAAGTTGAGTCCCCCCAACCACCAACTCGCCGAGTTGGTCCATGAAAATGCGCGGCCCAAAATCCTTCAACACGCCGAGTCCCAAAGGAAAACTTGCTTTAAAGAATAAATCTAATACCTGGAAATCGGGATGTTACAACTCTCCCCCACTTGGACTAGGCTTCGTCCTCAAAGTCTGTTGCGGTGAACAAATCCAGATAATGCTCCCGCATCTCAG